CCCCAAAACCCCAAAACCCCAAAACCCCAAAACCCCAAAAGAAATTTAAAGAATGAAAATATTTGAATTTGTTTTGAAATGGCAGAAAATTTTACACGTGAAGGTGTTAGTAATATTTCCATGCCCCCTTCCTCTGTTGGACATACTCCGATTATTTATAATAATACAACTGTCAGTGTGGCTATGCGGACCTTTAAGGAATGAGACATAGAGCCAGTCAACAACGAAGTCTTTGAACCTGTTGTAGTTTATAAGAGGAGGGAGGTCGACAGAAGACCCAAGACTAAAAGAGATAGCCCAAAAGACACTAGATTTTGGAGAACTAAGTAAGAGTATTTTTTTGTTTGTTTAATAAATTCTTGGATCAATTATTTATTCTAGAAATTACAATACACAGAAGAGGACAATTCCTCGTAAAAGACCTTCTCCCAAACCAAAAAAGGAATTAAAATAAAGAAATGGGGGAGATTGATTACAGGAAATGGGCTGATAACTGGAACCCTTGAGTCGATGTCCAAAGGGTCAAGCCAAAGGTCGACACAAATTTCAAGACTGCTCTTGAGCTTACCCAGAAGGAGAAAGAATTGAAGAAATTTACCTCCTCTCAAAAGAAAAGTAAAAAGAAGAGAATGCAATCTGCAAAACCAAGAGAGACCTATCTTGATTATCAGCTTGGAAATATGAAGAAGCGACTCCCTTCGAAGGAGGATGTTTTTAGAGGAACTTTCCATGCTAAGAATAGATACAAGGATGCTGATGATAAAGAAAATCTCATAAAGAACCTCCAACACAAGAGTAATACAGAAATGCTAAAGCAGAAAATATACAATGAACATACTAAAAATGCGAAAGCCAACCAGCTTCAGAAGGCAAAAGAGTACTCTCAGATCGTGAAGCTTCACAATAAGGCAGTTGTTGAAGAACAAAGAAGAGAAGGAAAAATGCCAGGACAATATACAGCAAAACTTATTGATGAAGCTCAAAGAGCTAAGAGTATTTTCAAATGACCATATATTCTATAGACTCAGAAAATAACAAGGAGAGGGAGAATAGAAGAAAAATCAGACAGGAAAGACTTATGAAGAAGCATATATCCATCCATGAAAGAGATGATGACCTACTGTATAAATATGTGATTAATGTTAATAAAAGAAAGGAAATGAAGAAGAAAAAGAACCAAAAGAATGAAGATCTTATGTTTTAATATTCAATTTTAAATGACTCCAGAGGGGTTTTGGGGTTTTGGGGTTTTGGGGTTTTGGGG